GGTGGTTGGGCTAGAAGACCTCAAAGAACCACCCAACTCTGTTATTCTTTTCTATTCTAACCTATTCTCCAAAGCACCCGAGAGCAGAACAAAAAGCAATGTACGGAAACTAATCAGGGAGAGAACCAATGTAGAACTAAGGATAAATTTCCTGACAGATGGAAAAATTAATCATTAAGAAAAGTGTGGGTGCTCCATAATTTGAGATTTTCAAAAAGTGATTGAACATCCATTTGTCTCAAATGTTATATAGGGTCTCTTCTTTGAGCAGGTGGTTGGGCTAGAAGACCTCAAAGTACAATCCATCTCTGTTATTCTTTTTGTTTGGTCATGATACAACATGAGTATTTTTTTTTCCTCCTGGGCTGTAACAATGGCATTAAGGCTCACTACTACTAGAGTATATCAATGATTACTTACTTCATTCCTTATATCCTATTCATTTCATTCATGTATGCTGGTTGATGAACAAAATAAAAGGTTGCTTGTGTTGCATCTTTGACTTTATGCAGTTATAGTACTAAATCCAGAATTATATAATATGTGCAAGGGGTCCTTGAGTTATGACTGTATTTGAGCTCAATCAAGCACCCCAGGCTCATGTCTCTGGAAGTGAAATTAAAGTTGCTATCTGTACTCCATCTGCTTATCACTAGAGGGCAGTCTTCTCTGTAAAATCACACTGAATGTTAATTTCCTCAGTTTATATAAAGATAGATAGATGGATAAAAAGGACCAAATGAGTCAGTAAGTGAGAGAGAGAGAGATAAAGAGAGAGAGAGGGAGAGGGAGAAGGAGTAAGTAAGTTATAGATAGATAGATATTCCTTTAAAAAATTGAGAAGTTCTCTTTGCAAACCCAAGAAGAATTCCCTCTATCTTTTCTTTCTTAAAGATTCTCCAAACTAAATTGGTTTTAGGACTTTAAATCTGTTTCTCATTCTAACAGGATTCCTGCTTGACCACAATGCGATTTTTGACTTGTAACGGTTCTTCCATTCAGAGATGGAAGCTAACAGGCTCCCAAGTACAAATCAACCTTCAATCAAGGGTTGAATGAATCAAAGTAGAAGGGGTCAAGTTATGATTCCACAAATATTAAACTTGAGAGATAGTGATCATTTCTGACCCAGTTTAAATTTGCTGAAACATATGAAGAATAGTTTATTGTTTTCTCAGAGAGAAACAAGAATAAGTCATATCTGGCATCACTTTTCTTAGAAATGGAACATTATTTAAAAATCACACATGTTAGGTCTGTCCAAAGAATCTCTAAGTGAATGCACTAAGGTTCTCTTTTATCCCACGTATTATGTAAATCAGGGCACCATTTCCCCTTTAATAGAGCTGCAATGGTTTCCCTTTTCAGGCTACACCCAGCAGTACAAAATTTGTTCAAAGTTCATTAGATGGAGCAAAAGTGATCCTGTGGCTAAACTTAGTGTCCATACTAGCAGTCTTGACAGGTAATTCTAGCCTCTATGTTCAGCTTTTTCAATTTTAATTCTTTTATACTGGAAAGTTAATTGACACAACTTTCATTTTAGGTGCCAAATCTCAGGTCCAATTGGTGGAGTCTGGAGGGGATGTGAGAAGCCCTGGGGAGTCCCTCCGTCTCCCCTGCCAAGCCTCTGGATTCACCTTCAGCAGCTACTGGATGGCTTGGGTGAGACAGGCTCCAGGGAAAGGACTGGAATGGCTTTGCCATATACATCCAACTTCATCTAACATTTACTACTCAGACAAAGTCAAGGGCCGCTTCACCATCTCCAGGGACAATGCCAAAAGCCAGCTGTATCTGCAAATGAACAACCTCAAAACTGAAGACACGGGAGTCTATTACTGTGCGAGAGCACACAGTGAGAGGAAGTGAATCTGAAGCCCGTCAAGAACCTTCTCTGCCTCTGAGTAGTAAATGTTAGATGAAGTTGGATGTATATGGCAAAGCTATTCCAGGCCTTTCCCTGGAGCCTGTCTCACCCAAGCCATCCTGTAGCTGCTGAAGGTGAATCCAGAGGCTTGGCAGGAGAGACGGAGGGACTC